CGCTTTATGAGAATGGTACTCACGGTCTCATTCTTCAGCCCCGATTGCTCTTGCGCAAGCTGGTCCCAGAATGTTCTAAAGTAGTCGCCCCTGGTGTTGTCCTTTCGCAACCTGAAGTACTCATCTGCATCCACGGTGGGCATCAGCCAGCGTGTGTGGCCTTTGGCACGGTAAAGACAATCGTTCGCCATCCAGGACTGGGTCATAAAGGTCTTCGCATATTTCGGGTCCGTATTCAGGTGGACCCTTGTTGCCAAGCCCGCTTTGATGTAGGGCTCATACAAGTCCAGCACAGTCACGTCTGTGCCGTTCTGCGTGTAGACGATGAAATGATCCACGCCGTGCAGCAAGTGGAACTCCATCCACTCAGGCACCAGCCTGAGGGTGTGAACCTGCCCGTTATAAACGGTGTTGATGCAGGCAATAGTGCCGTACTGCTTTAGCAGGGGTTGGTAGGATGCTTGAACATCGGCAATTTTCTGGCCCCCATCGTCCAGGCGGATGTTGTATGTTCCCTTCGCAGCCTCTGCTTGCGGCCACGGGCAGTGCAAATTGACCCTGTCTTTGTCTCGATGGCCGAACATCTGGGTTGGCACGCGGTGCCGTCCTTGCTGGTCTGAACAATGAATCCTGGCACTTTTCATTGCCTCGAATGATTGCCCCGAGAAGAGAAGCGCCATGAAGAAGCCTCCTTGTCCAACAAAGGGCACGACCCCTTGCAGCAGAACCTTCCGCCCGCTGCCCAGCGTGAGCTCTTGCAGCCGAGGTATCGCCGGCAAAATCTCAGCTCTCTCAGCGAGGCTCTCAGCGCTCTTGCCGAGAGACTCGCTGCCGAGGTCTTCGCGTTGGTCGCTTTGGTTGCTGTGGTCGCGTCCCCGAGTCTGAAGCACAGCCATGTCCTCGGTCAATGGCATGACATTTGTGAAACTACCTTTTTTATAAACCCTAAACTTTAAACGCTACACATCTTCATGGGGAGCCCATGGGGGCCACGATGTGCTTTCGATGCTTCGGAAACTTCCCCCCCCTGGCTGTGGTTTTGAAATGCGATATATCGGAGGAGGACACGTCTTGTGCTGGTCCTTGTGCTCAGCACCAAACCAGCCCAGGGAAAACCACGTGTGTGTTTGTAATGTACCCAGAAGATACTCGTGAAAATTTTCTCTCAGCAATCCCAGGAACTTGTGCCACGAAAAGCTTTTGAAAATTTTTCAAACTTTCATTTTGTTTCGAGCGTTTGGTTTCGTCAACCTTGAATATGGAGTGGACCGCGGGCCCAGTGGGGAGGGGGGCTTTCGCCTGTCCTGTGAACCTAAGAGCGGTTCAATGGCGCAGTACAGCGTGCATGTGTTGTGTGCATGTGTGCTACCAGCTTAAACTCTCTCATCTTGAACTTGGCTTCCCGCCTCGGCGACCTCGGTAACACATGATGTCCCACAGCTTGACTGCGCCATCGCTGTCGCCAGCGGGACAACTACAAGGAAAGCACGGCGCATGGCCCACATTGCAGTTCACTAAGCGAGAACCAAAGCTCGACAGCTTCGAGCACAGCCTCAGCGCATAAAACGCATATGAAGTTGGGGCATTCTGTCCAACACAAACATTCGACGGAACAAGAGGTCTCAACTTCCAAACTTTCCAACATTTTCGAGTCTACCCCATACTGCTCCCACTCTCGCTGGACTTGAAAAGCACATGCAAGATCCCTGAAGTCATGCGCCCGATAATTCGCCTTCTGGGGCTTTAGACTTGCTGGGTGACGTGCCTACATGAACTACAGAGGCCCATCGTGAGCCCCGTTCGAGACCCCTGCTAATCCCCCGGTGACCCCCAGAGCACGGCTGACTCAGCCGATGACAGCCCCAGAGCACGCTCTCCACATCTTTTGACGTCTTGAGGCACAGCGGCTCAAATGAGCAACCATCGTTGCCGCAACTTTTGAAGAGCCGAAACCCTGGAAAACCGGTACTATAGGCCGTTTTGATCCGCAGGGCTTCCGGGGTTTCAAGCGTCATGGCTCAACAGGGTGCACATGTCAACACCCCGTCTCACTGAGCGTGCCTCATGTCTATCGCGCACTCAGTGCCTAAAAACACGAAAAATTTCGGCCCCTCAACCTCCCGGACATGCTTGTCACGGAGCATAAGTATCCCTAGCTGAGCTACGGATGTTTCCGCATGTCGGGAGGTGATCGCGCCTTCCAGCTCTAGCCTAGCAGGCACTCTCGCGCCTCAAGCCGCCTTTGAAGCTCTCGACTCTCTGCTCGCACTTGCATAAGTGCTTCTTCACACCTACGAGGTTCAGTAACCTGTTCACGACACCCTGAAGTTCAGGGCATCTACGAATACACTCCCCAAGCTTGCGCACTGCTGTCTTGAGTTTGGGAAGAGCTCGGCGAGGTTGTAGTCGGCGGAAAGGCGGTTGCCCTAAAAAACATACTCCACCACTGCATCACTTTCATCAGCCCTAGTGGAACACCATAGAAAACCAGAACCACCAACGTCCCAATCCTCGATTTATTGCCCCAAAATCCTGCAGCATCTCCCGGTAGAAAAAAGTGAAAAAAGTTGGGGGACGGCGAAACTGCTTAATCAGACTTTACTAAGGTCCACGACATCGCTCAACAAGAAATCCAACACTCGTACTACTCGTCAGGTTTTCTCCTTATCCTCACGCCTCGAAACCCCCCGAAAGAGAAGAAGCGGCTGCCGGATCAAAAAAATAATAAAAAAGGATCAAAAAAAATTACGCAGCCCAGGATCAAAAAACAAATAAAAAAGGATCAAAAAGAAAATAAACTTCGAACGTTCGAGTACTAAAACTCGATTTTTGGTACGTTTTCGGAACCCGATCGAGGACCCTCTCACACGAAACGCGTGTCGAGGCGCTAAACCTCGAGTTTTGGAAAGGTTTTCCGGGCACGATTGACGACCCTCCCTCTCACACGAAACGCATCTCGAGGCGCCAAAACTCGAGTTTTGGGACGTTTTCGAAGCACGATCGACAACCCCCTCACACGAAACGCATCTCGAGGCGCTTAAACTCGAGTTTTGGTACGTTGCTCGCGACGCGATCGACCAATATATTATGCATCTCTATATTTATTTATTTATATTCATGTTAATCTTAATATTAAGTAGGTAGTAGGTAGTAGGTAGTAGGTAGTAGGTAGTAGGTAGTAGTAGTAGTAGTAGTAGTAGTAGTAGTAGTAGTAGTAGTAGTAGTAGTAGTAGTAGTAGTAGTAGTAGTAGTAGTAGTAGTAGTATAGTAGTAGTAGTAGTAGTAGTAGTAGTAGTAGTAGTAGTAGTAGTAGTAGTAGTAGTAGTAGTAGTAGTAGTAGTAGTAGTAGTAGTAGTAGTAGTAGTAGTAGTAGTAGTAGTAGTAGTAGTAGTAGTAGTAGTAGTAGTCTTGTGAGTGTGTGGCTCGTGGGGACTCTATGACACCTCCTCAATTAAAAACCTGAAACAAACCTGCCTGGAACCTGCCCCCGTGTTCCTTGGCATTCCTGGAATGAACGTGAAAAAAACCTGAAAAAAACCTGACAAAAACCTGCCTTCATATTTCGCCGAGTCCAAGCAAACTGACAAAATCCTGAAAAAAAGCTGTCTCTACCGTTCCGCAATTTTCAAAAATCCTGAAAGAATCCTGAAAAAATCCTGAAACCACCATTTCGCGATGCTCAGAAAAGCTGAACAAAACCTGAAAAAAAGCTGCCTCCCCGAAATCGCACTCCCAGAAAGCTTCAAAAATGAAACTGACAAAGCGGCCTCCCAATCATCAGCAAAGGTGAAGAAAACCTGGAAAAAAGCTGCCTCCATCATTTCGCCGTAAAACCTTCCTCCACCATTTCGCAAACCTGAAAATAAAAACTGACCAGAAAAGCTGCCCCGCCTTGTCGCAGCACTCAGCAAAGCTGAAAAACAATGGGAACAAATTTTGGACTGAAACTTCCAGCACCAAACCAACAACCGGTATCATCCAGGTACCTCACCTAACTGTCCTCACCTGCCGAAGGGAAAAAGCTGGGGGCCTAGGACCTAGGACCTGGTGGCCAAGTACTCGTTGCTCGTACATCGTAATTCTGCGCATGTTCACAGCGCAGATCTGCAGCACAGGTCCCAAAAAGGTATTCCAACTGCAAGTGCTGGGAGACTGTCGGCCACCTCTCCTGCATCTACAAAATGAGCCCGGGAATATTTTTTTGCCCTCGAGACGTGTCGGTTTTGCGAAGTCTGAAGCCATGAGCTCAGCTCACTAGGTCACTAGGCCTGGCTAAGCCTGGCAGGGCCTAGCTGGGGGCCTTGCAAGCAATGAGGCTCCTTTCTGTCGCACCAAAAACTAGTGACTAGTGCCTGGTGAGTGCGGTGGTTCAAAGCCCTCCCTGATGTCGAGTTTGGCCTAGGGCCCCAGGAGCCGGCGAAGACCACAAGCTGGTCCAAAAACACGTGCCGAGCAGCGTTGTAAAAGCAGCGGCGCTCCTACTAGGCCCTAAACATTGCACATTGTAAGATTGCAAGATCTACAATGCAATTTTGGGCAGCTTCCCTGACCAGATCTGTGTTTCGGGTATAGGGCTTTAGGACCAGGGCTTTAAGGGATTGCATGGCTACGGTGAATAACGAAGCGGCTACGGCTACTGGCAGCCAGTTGTCTTCCTGACTAGACTCTCTCGACAATACCAAGAAACCTTTTGACGTTGATGGGCTACACTGACCAAACCCCGTCTTTCGGCACCGCTTGACGCTGCTGACACATGGCACTGAAGCCACTGGCTGCACTTGCTGGCGCTCTACAATCTATAGAACCTCGACCTAGTCGACCTAAGGACCTAGTAGACTTGACCTAAAAAGGGTCGGGGACCTAGACCTAGGACCTAGGACCCAAACCCTAGAGTGGATCTGTCTTGCAGCACCAGCTCGCACTGGCTTCAAAGTTAAACTGGGTTGTCAAAGACGGAAAATTGGCCTGAAATCACGAAGGCTGCAGCATGGAGTCAGGACTTACTTCAAGAGCTCTTCGAGCCGCTCGAAAAGCTTGGGGTGAATGCCGGCACGCCTGTCTTTGTCCGCGATGAGCTCTGAGTGAAGGGCCTGTAGCACGCTTGAGGTCCTCTTCAGCTTCTCGTCCTCATCACTGCCTTTGCCCGCACGACCCGACAGCGTCTTGATCCCCTGCAAGATCATGACCTCAGAGAGAAAGGTTTTCATGCGGCGAAACACCGAGCGATTGTTCATGAAGCTGTTCTCAAAGGCATCAAAGTCCAGGTTGATGGGCTGCAAGGACCGCAGAAACTTTCGGAAGTCCTCGAACTGCTGAAGCTCCTCCATGAATTGACTTTCAGGGGGCTTTGGGATGTCAAAAATGCAAAGATGGTTCTTAGAGTAGCGGCTAAGACTAAGACTAAGAATGACCAAAGGCTGCCACTGCTAGAGCGAGCACTACACTGCACCACCAAACTATTACGACTCAGGCCCAAGGCAGGACCTAACTACCTGGTCATCTGTTCACAGCCCCTACCTACCAGCTACCTGAGAAGCGCAATGCTTCACGCAGCCCTGCGTCACTGGCTGCCTACCTGGTCCTGCCCAGCTATGCGGTTACCCATAACTGTAGACTACATCCACTGCAGCTCTACCCGACTCTACCCTGTAGCCCCTGACCCTGATGGCTGCCTTCTCGTGCTGCGCAAGGATGTTTCTGAGATCCTTGGGGTTGCATTGTTGAGAGACCGCATCGCCTGCCGTAAGGATGGCATCCAAGGAGATGTCATCCGCGAAGTCCTTCTTCCAACTGGAGTCTGGCACGCCAAAGGGGCACTCTTTCTCGAGCAACTTCTTTGTCATCTCGATCAAGACGAGCGACTGGTTGGCGAGCAAGAAGGCCATGCACTCCATGAAGACTTCGGAATCTCTGAAACCATCGAAGGAGGACCATGTGCTTTCTGGCACTCCCTCACGTGGCGGAATGTCCTGGCCCGTTGTCGCTATGTAGTTGATGAGGTCAGCCTTCTTCGACACATAAGCCTCCCGCGCGGCTCCCACAGCTTTCAAACACTGCAGGCCGGCATCCTTTTGCACCCGTCCTTTCGCATCCTTGTCATCCAAAGCCTCCAAGCTGCTGAGCTGAGCCCTCAATTGGGCTGCTGCTTTTGCCAGCTCGGCCTGAAAGCCTCTCATAGGGCACAAGGCATGTTCGGACATCTTCGCCAGCAGCTTGATCAAGGACACTGTCATGTTAAGGGTGTCGGGATCCGGCAGCTTCTCAACACTGAGCACCTGCTTCGGTCACTACTGCCAGGCTGCTGGACTCGACCAGACTTGCCGCTGACTCTGCACGCAAAGCTACAGGAATCTACACGTCGACTCGTCCAGACAAGAGACACTGACTCGTGACTAGACTCTGACTAGACAGACACAAGCGGGTGCTGAGCAATGGCTGCTCACAATCCGTGCTTCCACACAATCCCAAAATGTAAACGTAAAGACGTGGAACACTGGACCCTGGGACCGAGGACCTTGCACTTGCAGCGTTAGGACAAAAGACGATAGTGCATGGGACCAAACCTTCATTGTTTTCAATCTCTTGCACCAGTTAGGTCCAGTTAGGTTGCAGCACAAGCACCGTCTGAAAACATTGTCGAAGAAGACTCGTCGATACATCCCACAGCACACGTTTGCTCTCATCGGGAACGTCGACCCCAGTTTTCGAGAGGAGCTGCTTGAGCACACTGATGTCGATGGGCACTTCAGGCGGCTTGGTCCTTGCAGTAGCGCACAAGGTCAGTTTTGGACAGAGCCTTTGCATTCTGCTGCGCCCAACCCTGAAGCTTCTTCCACAGATCCAACTTGTCGGACTTCTTCAGGACCTGTCAAGATTGCACTCCCTCTGTTGTACGAAAGTTACCGTCAGCAGCCAGGGGGTCTGAGGACTGTGAAGCTCCAAGGCGGGTGGGCCTAGGGCCTAGGGCGTGCAAGTCCAGTGTAGGCCTCACTGAAGTCACTAAACTAGTCGTCTCAAACTGAGACTTGGGGCCCATCTCTTAAAGGGACTTTAAGACTTACGACTGAGGGCCTTAATAAGGCTGGAGGGCCGGGCCTAGGCCTAGGCCTAGGCCTAGGCTGAGTCTCGGACTTCGAAGGATTCCAGGGAGCAAAATGAGCCAAAGCAACAACCCAACACAAGATGGCACCTGAACAAGCATGGCAATCTCGCTCGACAGCACCTCGCCGGCGCCCGCTTCACTGCTCACGATCTTGTCAGCATGATACTCAGCCAGCTCTGCAAGCCTGCTGTCAGCTGCTTTGCAGCTTCCTTTCCGAAGGCCAGCCCGGATTGCTGGCAACTCCGTCCACACCATGAGCATGTCCGCCAGCGAGCAGCTGTCCGAACTCTCCATCTTGCTCATGCATAGCTGAAGCTTCGGAGCTTGTATCAGTGAGGTTGCTGAAGTCTTCATGACATCAGCTGCGGCATCACGCCAAAAGCTTCGTGACTCCATGCGAATCTGAGCCTTGGCGGCTGCCTCTTTTGACAGGACACCCTCAGGCTTGGGCTCTTCCACTGTCAAGAGTGCTTTGATGTTGCGCTCAAAGATGCCGGGGCCTTTGTACTGCATCAACTCTGAGACAGCAGCCACGTCATTCAAGCCGTCCACCATGGCAATAGTCCCTGCTGCCTTTACAAAGAGCTGCACCCGTTCAACCGCTTCAGGAAGCTCCTGAAAGGGTGGCGTGGAGCACCGGGCCTTGAACTCTGCAACTCTCTCTTCCGAGAGACTCTTGTTCAATTCTCGCACGGCGCATATGAGCAACTTCCGGATTGGTTTCTCGGCCACGTTGTTCAGCAATTCCAGCATCTGGTCTCCGACCGCAACGTCGAGCCACGACTTGATGAAGGCCTGCGGACTAGCGTCTAGAGGGCCAAAGTCCTGGAGTCCGAGGTCCTAGGCCGTAGGCTTGGGCTTAGGGTAAGGCCTCGAATCCAAAGGATCTACAAGCTCTACGCTGCTGGACGCACTCACGTATGCTGCAACACTGCTACATTGGTACCTGGTACACTGCCCCCACACTATCACTGCCAGACTACCAGGTACCATATTAGACAACAGTAACATCTTCCCGCCTTGACCAGCGCCTGCTGTTCTGCCACGCTGAGATCGTCCGGTTGCCGCGACGTGTCATCAGCAAAAACCTCCAAGAAGGCACTGTCCTTGTCCTCGCCTGCCCCGCTTCCTCCAGCCGCTCCAGCCAATGGAGCACAAAGAGCTGGCAACAGCTCCAAGAACTTGGGACTCGCGACGCTGAACTTGGATGCAGTGAGCGACGAATCCCAAAAGCACAAGCCCGGCAGGACATCTAGCAGCTTCGTCAGAGCGGCCTCAGGATCTTGCAGCGCTTCTGTGATGCAACTCTCGAAGTCCATCTTGCCGAACTTGACTGTGATGGCAATCCACAAGTTCTTGGACATGCTGGCCTGGTGTTCTGCCAGAGCATTTACCGTCTTGATAAATTTCTCCTCCTTCATGGTGCTGACGTTGCACGTGGACAAGTCCACAGCCAGCTGGCACAATCCGATGCGGCTCTCAAGAAGAACTGCCTCGCTCGCCTTGTTCACCACCAAGGAGTCGAGAACCTTCCTGGCCTCAGCACACAAAGATTACAAGGGCGTTGGTGGAAGCCGCCGTGTCCACTGCTTACTGCTGCTAAAACTCTTTGTGATAACTGAGCTAGCTGCTAGGTCTGCTACCTGCTAGGTGCTGCTAGGTAAGCACTGAATCACTGAATGGGTCAGCCAACACCAACACTGGCTGCTACTCAATAAATTTGGCATCACTACACTACACTCAAAAAACTTCTCTGCGTCATCGATCTAGCCTCGCAGCCTCGCGGTCAGGCAGCACTGTAGAGTAGATTGAGTAGATACTGTATTCATGATTGCCCGAGATAATCGCTCCAATCTCAAACAGCCGCTGCCAACTATAAAAGCAGCTGACTACGTTGACTACAGTGACTACATTCTGCAACTGAGCACGCTGCACCATTGAGAACGTTGCCAAGCTTGTCTCCAGCCTTGCTGTTGAAGAACCTGCTGATGTCCATTTTCTGAAGGCATCCTGCGGGCGGGTAGCCCAGCTCAACGTGCTTCTCATGGACACTCTTCATGTCTTCGTCGTTCGTCCAAGCGGCTGACGAACTACTGATGTCCATGACTTCCGGTTCTTCCGCAATCTCTTCTGTCGGCGCTGCGCCCTTGCTCCTCCTCTTCGCCTTCGCTTTGGCTTTCGTCTTGGGCGTCGCCTCCACAGCCACGCTACCAAAGCTGCCCAAACCCGCCACCGGAGCACTTGCTGGCCTGAGCACCTCATCCTCGTCCTCGAAAAACGCATCCTCATCCTCCTGGTCGGCCCTTTCCCCGTCTGCACCCTCAGCATCACTGGCCTCCATGTGCGCGTCTCGGCCTTGCAGGGTAGCATTGGCCTTCTCCTCAAGGGTCGACCACAGAAGCAAACCGTGACGCTGCGAAGCTTGCAGCGGAGTTGGCCTCGACGTGATGTGCTTGCGGGTTGCGAAGTCCAACCAGTTCGATGGCGCCTCTTGGCTGAGTTGGTGCTGCATGAGCAGCAAGTGCTCAGCCCCTTCTACCTCAGACTGGTGGAAAAGTCTGATTTTTCTGATACCTTGGGCAATTTCAGGCGGCATGCTGAGCAGGCTCACAGGAAGGACGTTCAACGCTTTCCCTTCCTCTTGGCTTTGCAGCGTCACGAAGTCTTTCTTTGGGCGGATTCCGAGGTCCTTAAGTTGGACGCCGAAAATCTTCGTGAGTTCGCTTTCCGTCAGAAGGCCGACGTCGGAGTACACCATCTGTCCTGAGAGGCATCTGAAACGACTACGGAAACTGGCTCAGGACTACTGGTTACTCACTCGTTGCCAAAGGATACTGAGCTTCGATTTGTTCTGATTCTGACCAATTGCTGACCCCCCACACACACACACACACACAC